TCTGCCCTTATCTCCTTTTTCTGGTTTTTGACGTCATGAACTTTGATTTGCATATAAAGTTTTCTTCTACCGTTTCTTGGTAGGCTTTACAATATGGATAATTCATTTTATGTTATTTATTGGTATACATCTTCGCTTACTTTTGTTAAAATCATGTGCTCCCCTAATTTTTTTGAGCAGTGTATATCGCTCCGTAACTCTCTCGTATAGATCAATTTTTGAAAACATTTTCCTAAGCTGATCTCTGCTCAGCAAAAATAACATATTGTTACAAATTTTATGTAATGAATGCTTAAAATAGTGTAAATAATTTATATCTGGATGTGTAATACGATAATATTACTTTCTCTTATATTCATTTTATGTTAAAAATATGTAATATTCTCAAAAACACAATTCCGTTCCTTACATTATAATGGAGATGAAATAGAAAAATAGCTCAATGTTGGCATCCTTTTTGGCGACCCTGTTGGTAACTTGGCGATTGATTGAAAGGTGCAAAATTTTATATCCTGTAGCGCCACCTGTTGGGGAGCTGCAACAAAGAGGATTGTACAAAAGCCTTCTCCACAAAAAATACATATACGAGCCAATTTTCATAGGGATCGGTTGAATGGTGTTGGGGTGAAGCGAGGTCATATATACAAACATCCATTTTTATGTAGAGAGATTTTCGTAACCATGCAAAATAAGGACCTCCCATACTTAGGGCATATTCTAAGATTGAGTCAAACTTTAAAAAATGGTAATTCAGACTTTTTCACCAAATTCATAGTCACAAAAGTCATGGTTACAAAATTCCCACGAATCGTCGACTCGTCACTTGATAGTGGTGCTTAGCCAACAGCCTTCGAGTAGTTTCAATGAGTGACGTTAATCTAACAATCAAGCAATCAGCCATGCATTTTGTGTATTTTGAGCTATAGTTTCGGAAAACTCTTTTAATGTCTTTAGTATCGAACTTCTTTCATTATGAAATTCTATATAACTTGCTTTCGTGTAAGCCTTTAATGTAGACACTATTCACACACTACTATATGGTCATAAAAGCATTTGATTAAATTTTTCCCCGGGTGATACAAAACTTAAGGGATTAAAAAAGATTTCAGTTATAATGAACAACTTAAAACTTCACTTTTAACAAACAATTCTATGTTCAGCAAGTAAAAGCTTTACGTCAATACTTTAAATAAATAAAATTTATTTACTATTAAGTTATACAGTAAATGTTCAAATTCATTCATTGTCTGATTTAATGGTAGAGGGAGAAGGTCATCACATCCCTTTTTGATTTTCACGCGCAATCGGTTGCGCGTGGAAAAAGTGTGTACTTTGTGTGCGTTCTGTGTACTTTTTTATCAAACCATTTAATACGAGGTGGATTACAAAGCAATCTGCATGCTTATGGATTTATTATTTTTCAACGATTGGATTACTAGCTCCGTTACATTCATGTGCCAGGGCAAAAGTATACGAAAGTTGCTTGTTGAATATTGTAGCTATTATTGTTAAAATCTTTTGCAGGATAAGAGTATTTTCCACACTGAAAGGTCACATTGAATTAGTAGCAGTCTAATAGAGTGGCATCAAGGAATTTTCACTGAATATAACTTAAAATATGAGTTTCTACTCAAAACAGCTATTTATGCATATTTCTTTAAGAATAATAATGGTTTGGTTGAACAAATTTTAGGTTTTTGTATTTAATTTCATACATAACCTAATTGTATTAGTATTGTAGTCAATAACTTTTAGAACCTTATGGGTAAACTATTTCATAATTGTAAATATCACGACCTTGTAGTTTATTTTTCTCTCAAAAGATAAATGAATAAGTTATAAGATAGATTAAGTCTTATTTAATATATATCAAATATAATTTCCTCGTATTATATCCTTAATTGATTATTCATTACTTATTAAAAATTACAAAATCTAATGAAATACTCGTTAATATTTAAGTGAATTCGCTACTAAATATAGATGTTTTTACTTCCAGAGTCTTCAGAATTTTCCAGATATCTATAATTATATTCTTTAGTATTCATTTACTACTTATTAACGTCACATTCAGAAGAAATAGAAGGGTTAACCTTGCAAAGAAAACACAAGAAACGGTGATGAACCTTGTTATTTTACACCAAATTCGAAGGGACGAGGACGAGTCCCAGTCCCAATTTCCACATCAATTTGCAGCGGGGATTCGGATTTTAAATAGATTTACGTAAATAAATCTCTGTGCACGGCCGATCTTGCCGATTGTGAGTGCCGGCAATGAGTTTGTGATTTTGACCATTCGATTTATGTTGCCTCGGCCTCTAGAATAAACCTCAAAACACAACTCAAATGGATCATCGATCTGATTAACAAATAGTTTTTCAATTGATTCAAATTTTGAAATATTTTGAATCATATTTTCTTGGTGTTCTCTTTTGTTTTGATTTCCAGTTGACATGATAAAAATTATGGCTTCCCAAACTGGAAATCACTCTGAAAATGGTTCTCGGAAATTCAAAATGTCACAATCTTTCTCAACATTGACCAAAATAATACTATAAGTATGAATAAGCTTTTTTATTTTTGTGAAAAATACTATAATGATTAAAAATGCATTTAAGGCAAATGAAATTTGAATATTATTTCTGTGTATGATAAATGATTAAATACCTTTTAAAATATTTCTCCACGGTGAATATTTTAGATTAAATATATCATCGAAAGAAGGCAGAAACATTAAACTGGAGATTCTTATTAATATTTATTGCTTTCGAAATACTCCCTAAAAATAAACCATCATAAAATTTCCATTATTGCTTTTAAAAATAACTTACTGCTTCTGAAAACCAAATGCCAAAAGCAGATCCGTAAAAAAGAGTTAACTCTTTTGATGAATGAATTATGAAAATGAATTTCGTTTTTTTATACATGTATATTAAAAAAAACAATGCTGCTTCTTCTATAATAGCAGTTTTTCTTATTTCTAAATATAATTCTTTTTTCTATTCAGCTCTCAGTCACTGTTGTGTCCAGATGTATCGAAGATTAAATCAATAAAAATACCACAAGCTTCTTACTAATCCTCCTCGTCGAAGAGCATCTGGTGTCGTAAGAGCTATAAGCCTTTTGTTGACAAGACAAATCAGGATATTGTTTCGGACATGTAGTTTCCAAACGTTGTTTCATTCAGGATAATAATCCTCTTTTACGTCTCTTACGAGGAATGTCAAAAACAATCCATCGAAGTAATATTAGTACTGATTTTTGCAGTAATAAATATAAGAAAAATCTCGTTCTTTCATTTATATACAGGGTGGTCCCAAATTCATGGTACAAACTTTAAGGGTAGATGCAGGATATTGTAACAATCGTTTATTGTTTAGGAATGTATGGTTGCAAGTGACGTGATGAGGCGCTAGCAGGAGAAATAAAAGAAAAGAGAAATGGAGTTACCAGTTGGTTTCGTTGCCGGTAGGTTGCAGTAGATGTCTAGCCTCGTTCTGCATGATGCATCTCAGCAGCGGAAAGAGCCATTCCCAATTGTTCTGTCATTTACGATGGGAGACTTTACGCATGTTAAAAATGCATACATACATTACATGTACGGCCACGTAAATTGTAACGACAGAGCTGCGCCACGAATGTCTCACACGCAGTTTCCTGATCGACGAATGCCGGATCCCCGAATTTTTTAGCGGTTACATCGTTAACTTCGTGAAACACGTTCGTTCCTCGTCACCAGACATGATGTTGGTCGGCAAAGAGCTGTACGCAGTTCAGGCTTGGACGAAAGCAAATTTAACGTTACGGCTATTAGACCAGAGTCAAGTACAAGATCTGTTGCTCATCACTTAAGTGTGAGTCATCAGACTGTTTGTAGAGTGTTAAACAAAAATCGCTTACACCTCTTCCATTTTCAGCGACTACAAGCTTTGAGTCCGGCAGGCTATCATCTCCAACTGCCAGTGGGTGGTACAGCAATGTGAATATACGGGAATTTCTAAAATCAGAGTTCGGATTCTCGTTTGCAGCTCCGAAACACACCAGGAAGCCTCTTTTCATGCCCCCACGGTCCATGTAAAAAACGGTCGTCCGGAACTATCCGGCAAAGTTACAATAATTTCTGAGATTCGTATTTCTAGATTCGTATTTCCCTTCTCGAATTACGCCAGGGACCAAGTATTCACGCTCTAAGGCTTTCAAGGTAAGCCTCTGACAAGGTGTGGCTAAAATACTGTCGTACGGTATTATCCTGCAATAGAGGTATTCTTCGGATTCTCCACGTCCCGAAATACGCCTGGCGCTCACTTGTAGTGCGCCTCTGTCTGTAGAATCCGCTTTCGTCGACACGCGTACATTGAGACATTTTATGACTTTTCCCGTTTCCTGAATTCGTTCACATTTCCGGCAAAAAAAACAACGATGTCATTAATTAAGATAAAAATTATCCTATCTTTCTATTTGGACGAAGTTGAACACAATATGCAAAATTATATCGATCGGTTGAGTAGTTTCGGAGTTGATCAAGGGAAAACACTGTGATATGGAATTTTTTTTAAGATACAGATAAAAAGATAGATTATATATATATATGTATAACAGGATTCTTTTGGGTTATATGTTTGTATACATCTCATCGTTAAGTATGATGATTGGGATCTTAATTAGGAATAATTTTGAGCCTTTTTGGTTTTTATTACGCAATGAGTAAAAGAAACTCTTTTCACTAAGCTATTTATTCAATTCCTACTATTAGCTCACTCTCTCCTATATATATATATATATATATATATATATCTTGCTTAAATTTTCAATTGCTAACAAAATTATTTCTATTCATCCATTCAAGTTCAAATACATTTTTTAAAGTTGTAGTGGATGACACTTGATGTTAATACAGTTTTTTTAAATAATGATTAATTAATTAAATTTAAAAAATGAAAATACTAACAAAAAAAAATAATAGTCCGATAGCATATATAGAAAGGAAACTCGTTCGATGTGTCCCTGTAGCGCAATGGGTAGTCCGTTTTGGACTTCTAATACAATCACTTTTAATGATATTACAATTTTTCTATTACTTAAACTTAAAAACTCTCATTTTAAAACAGTACTGGGCTAAGATTTGAAAAATAAGCCAAACTCAAGCTATCCTTCATTACAACTGATTGGAGGTTAAGTTTCCCTGCGGGAAACAGGAACTCCTATGAACATTCAACATTCAACTTCTAATACAAAGATCGTGGGTTCGAATCCCACCTGGGTTGTCCTAATTTCTGAGAATGTGATTTCTTTTTTTACTATACTATTTTATTAGAATCAATATATTTAATTAATGAATAGATAGTAACAAAAAAGAATCCAACACCCTATATAGAACGAAAAATGGAAAATTGCAAGGAAAATCGCTTTCTCTCTTTTGCTACTTAATATTGTGATTCTGCCATATGTATATACGAGGGTTGCGGCATAAGTCATGGCAACTAATTTTTTTCTTGTAGATATGTGAACGGATCACATATGTATATGTGTCGTGTGGAAGTTCTGCAGGCATAGTGCATATGCAGAATAACATATGTCTTTGTGATAACTGGTACTGGCTCAGCAAGTGCTGTAAAATCAGTCAGTTGGTAAGTGTCGTGCGAGATGGAAGTAACCCTTGTTAAGCAGCGCGCTTATATCAAACTAGCCGTTCTCCGAGGGAGAAAAGTGATGAAATGTCACAGTGCATTAGTGGACGCCATTGGAAATAATGCCCTACCATACCGTATAGTAGCGCGGTGGGTTGGAAAGTTTCAGCAAGGACGTGTATCAACCTGTGATAAACAACGTTCGAGACGTTTCACACATGGTGCAGCAAATGCTGAGGCTGATGGTATTCAGCGCCTCCCACATCGTTGGCAGTTTGTGGTGATAGTAGCAGGGGATCTTTAGGATCTTTTGAAGATCTTTAGGCCCAGGTTTGTCATGTCAACTGTATGTGCACTGTGTTGTCATTATTTTGCACCAATAAGGCCATATTGCTCTGTATACTACCGTAATAAATTAGGGTGTTAAGATACTTCAGGGATATTCATTATCCACAATGTAGTTAACACCTTGTCCTTTCGTCTGGATATGTCACATTTTCCAACCGGACTGGTATCTTCAAGAAAAAAAAATAGTTGCCATGACTTCTGCCCCAACCCTCGAACATATTTATATTAATTGTAACTATTTGATAAAAAGTAACTAAAATAAAATAATTTCTCGTGTTCACCTACGTATGAATTTATTTAATTTTTTTATATTACTTGTTTTTAGATAAATTCATCACTTTTTGCACAAAGTATGCACCTTATTTTGTATTTCATAACTGTATCATTTGCTTTTTTTATTGGGTGTCTCCAAGTTTAAAGCATATTGTTAAATAAATAAATATGTGTTTTGTAACATAATGAAAAAAATTCCAATTTTGGCTTTAAAAAACTAAATTAAATTAATTTAATCTTAAAAAAACATAAAAACCTTAATAACACTATATTCAGAAATATTAACATTTATTAAAGGTATTCGTGTATAAAATACATAATTAAATTTAAAAAAAATAATTTTGCATTAGTAATAAAATACTTAATTAATACATATGAATTTAATTAGATATTTCTTTTAGGTACCTCCGAGTAAATATATGTGCAACTCTTATAACAAATTATTCATTCATTTTGAAAAAGCTATATATTCAAAATTATTACAGTTCGCGCAAGAAAATATATAAAAAGAGCCACAAATTCCCCAAGTTTGTACACCCGCTACGCGACACACATTCAGATGATAATCGAGCTTATTCCATACTGTTACGTAGATCTGGGATTCGAGGATTTTATGCAAATCAGTCGTAAAGAACATGACAGTTCTTTAAAAGCGATGAGAATTTATTGTAGAAAATTCAATCCTTGAAATACAGGATTCAGCAGCAATATTCGCAGAATAAATCTCAGAAGGTCTTCACACCTTCAAAAATACTCAGACACAATTATCAGTGTCTAAAATACACGTATGTAAAAAAATTATTCACAAGCAATCGCTCGTTCCACAGCCGAAGTAATCACTAAAGCAATACTAACTGGTCGCTAGTCAAAACCAGACTGACTGACTTTCGGCGATCATCTTTGTATTTATACCCCTCACGTATAATTCGAGAAAGATCTGCTTGCGTCATAGGTCTTGAAATTAGTGGGTTTCTAATTTCTAGAAGAATCCAATGGGTTCCGAACTCGCCAAAAATGGTCGCCAACATGATCAACAAAATGCCAAAATGGTCATGAAATTGGTGGCCAAGTCGCCAACTTGGTCACCAAAAATAATGCCAACTTGGCTCTATCGCCAAGATTTTGCCAAGTTCCCAGTAATTCCTCTTTATAACGTAAGGGACGAAGTTGCTTGTGAATATTACAATTTTAACGCGCATTAAATCTAATTTAGAATAAGATAAAAGCATTACCCATCCGAATACAAATTATTTACACTATTTTACTCAAAATTCGTAACAACATATTTTGTGGCATAGTCTTGTCAATTGTCTACACTGCAGCACTAATGCTTTCTGTAAGATCGAATAAGAATTGTTGTGGTGGCGGTACGTAAGCAGGTACGTTAACGTACCCCTAGGAAGAAGTTTCAGGGAGTTAAATCAGGAGATCAAGAAGGTCAAGAGAACAAATCCAGGCAATTCCCCCCATACACCCAATTCAGTGATGTAGAAGTTCAACGTTTTCTTTGTCATGAGTTGGGATGTACCAATGAGGGAAGTGGGGAAATCTTGTTAGAGAGAGAGAGAGAGAGAGAGAAGACAAAACCCCTGAAATTAGCTCTGAGTTGAGGGAACAATCACAACTGCAACATATTCAGGTAACATTTACCAGTCACAGTTTCTCTGCGAAGATATACTGCCCGTACTCATGACACTGCACAGAAAACATTCCTTTTTATCGAATCTCTTTCAATAGTTAGGGCTGGGCATGGAAATTTCATGCCCCAAAATGCACAATTGAAATTTTTGAGTTTGCTGCTCTTTTCACACATATATCTTTCATGTGCACACGTAATATTTGTGAATATATAGTCTTTTCAAAACGAATGAATCATTTATGCTATGTATATTCCTTTCATTTCCTATTCAAAATAAACATTTTAAGCAAACTGCCATTTGCAACATAACTTAAACGTAGATCAGAGTAAAGAAGTTTTTCCATCAGTAGAATATTTGTTATATTTAACACATTTATATGTTTTGAAATACATAGAAATCACTAAGAGTACATATTTACATGCGTGTGCGTATTACAAATCTTTTATTACATAGTTAGTGAAGAATTTTTTTTTCATAAAAGCTGGATTGTACCATTTCTATGAAAATCACATTTCCACAAAAAGTACGCAATATATAATGAATTATTTCTTAATTAAGAGTCAGCTGTCCCTGTTACAGTTCTAAAATGATTAAAGTTACATTTGTGAATGATATAAAACACAGTATGCATTGCTTGAGCACAAACAATCTAATTACTGAATACTAATTTATTTATGTTTAAAGGAATCAAAATGACATACTGTATGAACTCAGGGGTTATCCTTTCAATGACACTGTGAAGAATTTTGAGAACTGTGTATAATATAATTTAAAATTATATGACCTGGTTTGAAATGAAAACCCGAAAAAGATCTACAAAGTCATGCAATTAATGATAATTTTTTCTTTTTGTAAACTGTCAAGTTAATATAGTGGCTTATATAAAAGTGGGGATCGGATATTCAAACCACTCCCAAACACAGATTTTTAAATTTTAGCATAAAGATTATGAGTTGGCGCTTTCATCTGCATGTTTTTTAAACACTATGAGTTTTTCAAGCTCCTCTAATAAAGGTAGTCAGTGTAACTAAGGAGTACCAGAACTTGCTCAAAAGAGCAAAATGCTAAAATTAAGAATTTGTTTATGGGACATACATCTAAAATTTTCCAATAAAGCTTAAATTTTTTTGTGATCTTACATAATAACAATATTTTACTCATTCTGTAGAAATATTAAAATAATTTTTTAGTTATTTTTTTCTGTTTAATTTAATTTAGACATAATATTTGAGATCTCATAATACATGCTTATGTTTAGGTATCCTTTTTTTTTTAAAAAAAAAAGGATACCTAAATATAAATAAATAGGAAAATTGTTTTAAATAAGCAAAATATTTTTTTAAACTTATATAAAACAATACACAAAAATATAGTGAACCTATTTTTTTAGTAAAATTAATATAGATTCTTTAAAAAAATTATAAAATTTTGTAATTTTCAAAATTTTTATTTTTTGCTTCTCTTTTATACGTAAAACTATTTTTTTAAAAATTGTGTACTACTTAGACTGAAAAAACAAGTTCACTATGTGCACAGGTACCCTGTATAGAAGTACAAAAAATTTGGAACAATATGGCGTAATAGATTTTTTTAAAGTGTACCTAAAAGCAAAAATTTTTGCTTTGGATAAAAAGTAAAAAATCTAAACATTTATAAATCTGTGTTTACATTTTTGTCAATTACTTTTTTCATATTTTAAGGTTATTTTATCATGGCACAAAAAATTGTTATACATTTTTTAGATTTAGAAAAATATGTCCTATTTTTTAATAAAAATTGAAAAGTCAATTTTTTTATTGTACTTAATGTACTGGTTCCCTTAATTGGTATTGTGTTTCTGCTTAACATAATTCCTGTACATGAATTATATTTTGAATTTTTGAGCATATAATTAATCGCATTACACTCCTCCTTATCTTCTCCAATTTAGTTTATTGTATCTATTTAAATAGGAAAAGTGTTTCTAAAAGTGTTATAAACTATTATAAGATTATAAGGCTTGTGCCTTGATTATATTTCCTCTCCGATTTCAGCCGATATTTTTTTAAAGAAGTCCTTACAGATTTTTTAGCTTAGACAGGAATGCTTAAAATACTTCTGCAAATGAAAGGAAAAATGTAAATTGATAGAAAAATTCTCATTATTTTAAACTCAAAACCACAGCAGTCTGATTTAAGCAAATATGCATACAGTGTGGAAGAATAACATTAAAATCACAAATTCAAAATGACTGCTAAATATAAACTTAAATAGATGGAGAGTTGCAACTTCAAGACGAGAACGTTGTATAAAACAATGAAAGCAGATGCAAATGATTGGTTGATGATAAATTGGAGGGCGTGGGGTGTGGCTTTTAAAGACGCCCTGGTTGGGACA